ATTGTCTGAAAACTGAACATAAAGCAGGAAAGTAATTAGGATGTTGGAAAAGCTACTCAGGCAATGGTTGTGTGTGTGTGAACCATTTTATTATTTTATATTACACTTTTGCATTTCTATTTCCAATGTAAAGATCACGTAAACCTACCACGCTAGAGAAGGCAGAGACAGGAGTTGAAGCTCTAAATAACTTATTACTGTACTACACCAATATCAAACTAGTTAAGGTTCTTTATCACATCTCGTTCTCCGAAGGTCATAATCTGGAATGAGCTATTATTCACTTCATAATTATGTGAGAATTATGTTTGTTCTCTCTGGATGTTCTACAGTAGTGGAGTAAAGGGAAATGACCTTTTGAGTTATGCAGTGTGTGTGAGCCTAGAAAAACAGCCTTAATTATGTAGCATGTGTACCTAAACATCTTGAATTATATAATGTGTGAACCTAGAGAAACAACTTGAATTATGTGGTGTGTGAACCTAGAGAATCAGTTAAAGATATGCAGTATGAGAAATAGTTTACAGTGTATAGTATCAGAACTAAGATTAATAGAATAAGTTAAGGAGTACAGTATCCGAACGTATAGAAAGACGTTAAAGTGTACTGTATCTGATCGCAGGGGAACAATGTGAAGTGCATAGTGTTTGTACATTATTTCACAGCGTTGAGTCTTATGTCATTAAAAATTGTATATGGTCCGGGAAGTGTTATCTAATATGATGTAAGGAGCACATACTGACTTTTAAAACTTTAAAGTAGCCAACAGAATATGAAACATTTTGGAGTACGATTAGACCAGTTGTTGGACATTTAACCTTATGAATGCCAATGGCAACCATCACAAAATCAACCTGTTATATGTAGCTTTATCCTCCAACTTTAGATATGTCTTTTAACATGAATTTCAAAACGGAATTTAACGTTAAAAACAAAGTTTTTATTATCTGAACATTAACGAGAGATACGTTGTAATACGAGCGATCATGAATGTAAAAATATTAATTCTTACACTAGATGCCCCAGATGCACGTGCAGCTTTCCATCCACATTATACTAGTTTTCCCAGTTCGCCTACGTAGGCTTGATGATAAATAACTATACTTCGGACCTTCCCACCTCATTGCCACTTAATAAAACATCTTGTTACACCCGTCCCGTACAGGTTAGCCTAAGCTGGGATTTTCCCGCCCTCACGTTCTCGTACCTTACTTACTATTATAAGTTCTGTTACTTTTGTTGTAAGAATGTAGAGTTTTTATTTTTCCAGTCGGACACTTAGGGAGTGTAGGAAAGGGCCTTTCGCGACACGCGGAGCTTGAAAAGTGAAAAGAACGATGTAACCAAGAGTCGAGAAGCTTCATTGGACATATAATGTCAGGTGATCTTCCGCGAAGTCGAATCGGTCAGCATGCGTATTGTCTCACCACGTAACAGGTAGAACACGGCATCTTTGTGTTTTATTAGACGGCGTAGTTCTTGGTGAGCGTGCATACAAACCACAAGTTTTCACAATTCCGTATCTATAAAACTACATGTCTGTTCTATGTTTTCGGAATATGTAGTGAAGGGTCCTGTTAAACATATGTACAGCGTTAGAAGAATCACTAATGTCGTATTATGTATGATTTGTAACGAACATGAAATGTGTACACCAGACAGGTCTAACGGTATCATGTATATATAAAACATGGATTATGTACACCAGACAGGTCTAACAGTATCATGTATATATAAAACATGGATTATGTACACCACACAGGTCTAACGGTATCATGTATATATAAAACATGGATTATGTACACCACACAGGTCTAACAGTATCATGTATATAAAACATGGATTATGTACACCACACAGGTCTAACAGTATCATGTATATATAAAACATGGATTATGTATGCTAGAGATCTAACAGTATCATGTATGTAAGACATGGATTATGTACTCTAGAGATCTAATAGTATCTTATATATAAAACATAGATTATGTACACCAGACAGGTCTAACAGTATCATGTGTATAAAACATGGATTATGTACACCAGACAGGTCTAACAGCATCATGTGTATAAAACAAGGATTATGTACACCAGACAGGTCTAACAGTATCATGTGTATAAAACATGGATTATGTACACCAGACAGGTCTAACAGCATCATGTGTATAAAACAAGGATTATGTACAACAGACAGGCCTAACAGTATCATGTGTATACAACACTGTTGTAGCTAGGTCATCGTGAGATTGTCCAATTGTTTCAAAGAAACAGTGAAAATATAATTGGTATAAGTACGTCATCTGGTAAAATAACTACGTATAAATTAAATTATTCAGCTCGTCTGACAACACTTTGACTCCAGTTCCTGTGACTTCATTTTCATTAACAAATAGATTCTTAAATCTTTTTTCTTTGCAGAATTGAAGACGACGAGATTGTCGAGAGCGCCACCAGAGGACCAATTCTTAGAGAGGATAAAAGCTGTTCGATACAGTGAACGAACACATGACGATTATTCCAGTCGCAGAGAATACAACAGCAGCTTGGCCTTAGTCTTAAGGTTATTATAGGTTTAGAAAACAGTTATGTATAAACAAATCTTTAATATGAAAAACAATACCTGTACAGTTGTGTTGTAAGTTCCGAGACAAAGAAGTAGTTACCTTTATTTTTATCTATGAAGTTTAATGCTTAGCGAATAGCTTAGTTTGTACAAGTATAGATTGCGTGGTAAATACACATCCAGTCTGTAAATAGTTATGTCACTAATATATTTAACACGTAGACACTTAGGCCTTGTAAGCAATTAGTTTAGAAACTCTAGAGCCTTCTAGGGTTCAGTACACATTTTTTGTTATTACTCTTTCTTGAGATATAATGGGCGTTTGGAAGAAGCCACCAGATGTCGCCCAGCGGCGTATGACGGGCAACATTATTGTTATTGACGTAATTTCGGTTGCAGGTCTATTTTACCAAGTAATTAATTTCCCTGCTACTTTTACCTGCCATCTGTGTTGATTTTGTTTTTATTTGCAACTTCATACTGTTCAAAGATGGATGACAACTGCCTGCCTTTCTGGTGCATCTGCAAAGTTAATTGTTGGTGTTACCAAGGTTACCAACTACCAATAGTAATGCACGTAATATGTCAGTGCAATAGCAAACCTCGCTTCAATGCATCAAAATTTATGAATAAATTTTAAAATAGATAGCGACATTTGTTTCAAGATAAACAACTAAGTGATTTTATTTTCGGTGTATATGCCTTTATTCGGAGGGCTTCAGGAGATAAGTATTTTGTTACCTATGGACTAGGGTTAGACTTGCCAGGAAGAAATTAGTCAAATCCAACAAAGACCCGTTTCATTGCACAGAAACGATTTCGACCATGATATATATGGTGCAGACTTAGCTGCCAGATTACGTTTAGCTAGATCCCTGCGTGTGAGCGATAATTTGAAGAGAAGCGAACAAGGGACAGGATTTCGCGTGAAGTATTAGTTCGGTTACTGGAACTCGGGGATAATGAATTAGGTACGAATCCTCTCTTTCTAGCGTTAGGTTTAACTTCAAAGGCTATTGTACATACGCGTTACAACAATCCCCCTTCCCCACCCCCAAAGTTGGTTTAGTCTTCATTCCAAGCAGCTAGCTCTCTTGTCCACAGGTGGGAATGATGATCGCATTACTTTCATACACGTGTCTACTACTTCTATCACGAACAGAAAACCCGTTACGTAGAAAAGCCGTTTCTTAATCACTGTATTCTTTCAAATCCTTATTAAACAGACCAATTTCAAATGACGTTTCACGTCCATGTAGTAACGAGGATGCCGCCATGTTCAACACCTTAACTTTGGTGGATGGAATATTTCAACCCGGGTTGTAAATGGTTGACATAGCTTGCATAAGAAGGCTAAGAAATTACTGAAGTTTCTTTTCGAAGTGTGCCATACCGGAAAGGCTTGGTATGTTGGACCCTTAGAAGGTCAGCATGTAGCTGTAAGCACCTTTGAAAACATCCTGCGCACTTCTAATAACCTTCAATGTCACAGTTTACACCATACACTGATTTATAAGGTTAAATTGTGCAGTAGTTGGAAAGAACGTGCCAACCCGAGCAAGCGTGAGGTCCGTTTGTTTATTTGTTTTGAATTTCGCGCAAACCTACACAAGGGCTATCT